AAAAACAAGAATAGCAGTGGCTCAGTGAATGACATTAAATTGGTGTCATTGACCAAGATTGTGTAAAATCTTATTTGTGACATATGTAAAAATGGAAATCTTTTCTCGGCCGAAAGTTCCAATTCGGGCCTCTAGTGCTTGAACTATAGTGGAAGGGCTATTAGTATAGCCTGTCACATATATAGATATGAAAAAATAATTAGTTAATTATTTAATTAAAACAGTATATAGGCCTGCCAATTAGATTCCCTCACTAAAAATCAGCCGATAAATCAGCTTCACATCACTAAAAGCCAAGTAGATGGCTCTTGTATGAGTATGAGAGTATCCACTCACCTAAAGGCAATGGTAAATTAGATATTATATAGTTGGTTCCATTTTAAATTAAGTGTTGTTATCTACAAACAAAAAAGGTTAATTTGTCGAATATATATTTATTAAATCAGCAGAATCATATATATATAGATAGATATACGTATTAATAATTTTAAAAGAATCAAGAATTTATGATAAATTATCATTATGAGAATCTTTTAAGATTTTTTATAGGTATAGTTGAAATAGAAATGTAAAACTACGAATAATTATAAATAAAAAATCTAGCATAAAATGACATCTAAAACTAATCGGAGGAAGTACCTTATTATACCATGTAATTGGATGCACCGACAATAGTGTTATAGTTAATTTTATTTAATATTAAGATATGTGCAGCTAAAATTTTCAAGCATCAGTATTTGATCATTTCTAAAATAAGATATACCTAAATTTCATTAAAAATATTGCATTACTAAATATTTGTTTTGGTATTATTTAATTTTGATTACTTTTTACAAGAATATTTTACTGTTTTCATATTTTATTTTTCTCAACTTCTCAATTTTTCATTAATGTTTTGAGTAAAAGTTCATTTGTAGTACAAATAGTAATTCTAAATTTTCATAATAGATTATTGGAATTTAATTTGTAAAAAGTTTANCTGTCAACCAAATTCAAATTGAACATTTGTTGCCTTAATAGTCAACGAAATTCAAATAAAACATCAAAGCCCGGTAGAAATTGACAAGCTTGGTTACATACCTAAACTGATTCATTTACTTTTGGTAGCCATAAATTGACTTTAGCCCCATTTGAGCTTGAAAAGTGTGAGATTCAAAATAAAATATATTTTACGATGTAAAAAGTCACGCAAAGAACATTGGAGGCCCATAACCCAGAGCCAAAATAAAAAGAGCCCAAAAAGGTTAAAGCCTGACCAATCAGAAAGGCCCAAACTACAAAAAAAGCTCAAAATGATGAGAGGGAAAGAACCTTGAATTCCGGAATTTGCCATGTCTTTTCTCAGACAAAACATCACATGATTAAACTACAAAACCAATCCCGCCACATGAAAGCCCGCGGCCCGCTTTGGATGGCCCGTTTAGTCCCACTCTATGGACGTTAAAAAAAAAGTCGGGCCCACTCATTTGGCGGGGGTAGGAGTAGGACACTCGGGCCTAAGCCCGTTTTGACATGTCTAACAATGGTTATAATTTTCCTCCTCGTATTACCCTTTTAGGTGGGTAATTTCTTAGTAACTGTTACTGTAATTGAGGTGTTTGTAATAAAATCTTTCAACTTAACCTAATAATGCAGCTACATCTGCATGCAAATATATCAACTATGATTATCTTTTGCCTATTCATACAACAACTTCAAGATAATACATGATACAACTCTATCATTGTATTTTTGCCAATTTATACAATCCTTTCAAGAAAACACATGATACAGTCAATGGTGCATATAATCATGATAGATTACTGCTAAGCACCCACGTGTAAAATGTATGCACCATTCATACCTCTCAAACATACAACTGAATCTGAAGTTTAAGAAAACAATAATTACAATTACAAAAAAAGGAATGACAACAACTCAGTATGCTTTCTAAACTGAAAGCATTAATGGGATGTGTAAGGAGTTTAATAATAACATTGAGACAGAAAATCCTTTCCAAGTAAATTTCATACTCACTCACTTTAACTGCCTCTTATTTCTACTCAGATTCGATAATAAGGTTTCTATCATTTCATTCATCATTACAGTATACACTTATATTACCTAAGAACAAAATGCGATAAGTAGCTCCAAATAAATCAAGTACTGAGAGTCCATATCGAGCGCCTAATCATCTTATGGCAGAGGCATTTCGATTTCAAGTGACCTTCAAAATTGAATCAAATCAGACCATGAAAGTAAAACACACACACATTAAAATGATGATAAAAAGAACTCTTTCCAGCAAAATCCTAAATGAACCTACTCAGCATTTCCAACTCGAGACAAATTACCATTCATAAAAATATCAAGCAACATTACTATAATCAACACCCTTTTCCTTTAATAGCTTAACCAGTCATAATTCCCTTCATTCAACAGATCACACATTCATAATACCCAACAATACTCAAAAAACATAATCCAATTACCACTCCACTCCATTCCACTAACTATTTACTACACTGCGTAAACCACAAACAAGAAACTAAAGCAACAACGAAGAATCAAAACACTTAACGTACCCCAAAAAAGGCCAACTTTCATCTGCAACCAGCAAAATTCTTGATTTGTGAATAATCTTTTTGTTCATGCCCCCTCATTCTCAGCCTGTGCAATAATCTTAGTCGCATTCATATTATCCTCAAAGTAGCTGGCATAAGGGTGCCCCTTGGGAACTAATCTCCTATACTTCTCAAAATTCTTCTCAGCCTCGACATTTTTCCTCATCAATGTGTAAATTATGCCCTGGCACAAATACGGCCTGAAATCTCTCGGCTCCTCCTTCACCAAATCCTGATAAACCTTCAATGCCTCTTCATACCTGCTCTCGATCACCTTAATTTGCGCAAGCAAAAGCTTCAAATCCCTCAATTCACTGTTTTTCTTTTCCTTCATGCAGAATTTCATGGAATCCTCGACTCTCCTCTCGATATCTTTCAGCTCTTGGCCAGACTCCTCTTGGGAAGCTACTGTCACGAGCCCAAGAAAGGCATCCATGAGACAAGGGTCTTTATTGAGGAGCTCGTTGAACCCATTTTTCGCCAGCTGGAGCTCTCCATCTTGGGCGTGGAGATGGGCCTTCAGCAAGGGCCACTCCACATCGTCTGGCTCGAGCTCTATTAGCCTCTCGATGATCTCGATGGCTTCTCGAATCTTCCTGCCCTTGATCTTGATCTCAACCAGGTTTTTGAGCTGGTCGGCGTCGTTGGGATTGGAGAGGAGGCTCTCCTCGATTAGCTTCTCCCTTTCCTCGTCCTTAAAAAGGAAATCCCTCACGGAGGTCCCGGTGGCCGGCATGACCGGAGCGGCGACGGAAGGATTTGTGCGGAGACAGAGGCCGGCGAATACGAGGGCCGCGGCGGCGACGGCGGTTGCGAGGGTGGTTCTCAGAGGGGCGATTCCATCCGTGAATCGACGATTGAAGGGGTTTGGGGACTGACTGTCGGGAGCCTCGGGGTTAGGGTTTTGCAGGGAGGCTCTGACGGGAGAGGAGATGGAGAATTGGGGGTGGGGCGGCGGCCGCGGGAATCTCAGGGAAAGGGGAGACGAGGGGTTGGAGAAAAGTGGACGATGGGGATTGAGGAGTGGGACGGCCGGAGGGTGGCGGAGGAGGGTGGGCTTGACGGCGGAGGAATTCAGGGCATTCATGNACGGATAAATATCATAGATTAGAGCCAAAATATACAGAGACAAGCATATACAACAAACAAAATAACGACTAAACTAGGGGAAATCTGGGAACAATCCAGCATTACCCTCCATACCAGCAAAACAGCTATACAGACTCAAAGAAAAAAAAAACATAAACACAGAAACCAAAAGATAAACAAAAACTAAAAGACCACACCTACTCACAATATAAACCCTGGTACTAGTTACAAAGCCACTACTTCTCAAAACCTATCAAAGCTTGATTAATCTTTGTGTTGTTTTTTATTTTGTTACATTTTTTTAATTTAAGTTGTAGTGTGCAGTTATTCTAAATTCAGCCTTTTCAAGTTTGTAATTTATTATTTGATATATGATACATCTACTAAATAAAATAAAAGAATGTAAGATAGTAATAACTTCACTAATAATGAGATGAATCTCGATTATTCCTTTCGTTTTCTTATTTGTTCTCGACATTAGTAATCGTACAGTCATATCCGGTTTGAGCTAAAGCCGGCCGAAATAAACGGTTATCTGGTTTGGGCCTACATATGTTGGCTGAGAAGAACGTGTGGACCAGACTCAAGTCAATTTAGAGGAATTTACACCTCTTACCAATTTTTATTAAATTTATATATCCCTTATATTTTTATTTATAAAATTATTAAACAAGTTAAAAATATTTTAATTATACCTCACATCTAAGATGTAACTGTTACCTTTTTTTTCTGGCATATTAAATGCTAATGATATCATTAATTCAAATTAAATCTATACTTACCTAAATATGTACGACACTTTCTCCCTCTCTATCTCTCCCCTCTCTTTTCGTCTCTCCATCTCCCTCTCCCTCTTCCTCTCTTCTTCTTCTTCTACAACTTTACATTTATACTTTCTCTTCCCCTACAGTTAAAATTTTTCTCTGTTTTTTTTTAATGACCGATCAAAGACCGGCGACCCACTGCTTGTTAGTTAATTTTTTTTTTCGCTGTTTATATACACAAATTAGCACAGTTGTATCCACAACTCTCTTTGAGAAATTGGAATATATATATATATCTTTGAGAACCCATGAGAATTTACTACCTAATCTCACTTTAAGATGTCAAGAACCTTGTAACCCTTCTTCAAAATCAGATTTTATGCACGTGTACTCAGCCGTGTTTTCCCCACGTTAAATGACGCCCGAAAAAATTAGTTCCTTTCTCCAAAAATGCACGAAGACTTGGTGTTGAAGAAGGGAGAGCGTGGAAGGATAGGATGCGGCGGCAGAGGTCGTCGGAGAGGCGGATGATGCCAGCCTGGGAGCCGGATCGGAGGGCGGCTAGCTCGGGGGACGACGGTGTCGTATATGTACAGTATGTAGAGTATTTACAGTTTGATGTATATTTACAGTTTATTTGAGTATATGTTGAGTATATTTACAATTTATTTGATATATATCTACAGTTTGTCTGATATATGTTGAGTATATAGACAATATATTTTCAGTTTATTGACATTTTATGTTTTTGTATATAAATAAAATATATTTGAATGCAATATATACTAAAAAATATTCAAAAACTGATATATATTACACTTCTTAAGGAACTCTCGACAGTAAAAATATGATTAGGGTTTATGTTCAGTATATTTTCGGTATATGCTGCAGTTGCTATCACCTCGCGAAAAACAAGAAATTTATCGAGAGTTGTTAATTCACGTAATCCATTCACCACCGTAATATTTGCAAGATTTTTTCCTTTTCTTTCTTCTAGTAACCAAAACGAAAATCACGCATTAGATAAAGGGAGATTAGTATTAAATAGTAACTGAATCTAAACATTAATTAAATAAAATATTATCTTTTAGGTAAAGACATAATTAATTACAGCTGTATGGTATAATTGTAATATTTTCATAATCACATCGGATTGATGAAAATTTCCCGTCAATTTAACGACTTGATGGGCTGAACTAGAGACATGTAACCCTACTTAATAGTTTGTTGCCCCACAATGTGTGTCTATTATGGGTCACGAGTTATTGTTTGGACTGAAAGAAGTAGATATGGGCCTATTATTTGAATTTCGGGCAATGGTTAAATATTCTTGAGCCCATCATTGCCTCGACAGTGGGAATCTTCTTTTCTTTTAACCCCTGTTGTCTGATATTATCATTTCAAAGTAAAAAAAAATTAAAAAAAAAATTAGCGTTTAATAATTAGTAGCTTGTCCTGATCGAAATGGAACAATAAAATAGAAACCTTCCGACAAAACAAGTCTTCTCCAACTTTCTAAGAAAGCAATGTTCTGTCCTATTCTTCATAGTCATGTTGATTTTGCAAGATACTGTGAGGTAAATAAGAGTACTTGCTTGGCGTGAATCACGAATCATGTAACGACATATACGTGTTGGAATGTGATTATAAATAATGGATTGTAGAAAAAAATTGAAAATTTAGTCCTTAATTAATACCTAGTTGAGAAAATAGTTTGCTGATTGCATTGACTTTATAAAGCACCGTGTAATTGTCAAAAAAGAAAAACTTGACTTTTGGTCTTTCAATTGGCAAAAGTCAGTCCCTAGCTATGACCAGTTGCTAACGTGAAGATTATTTTTCATTTTTTTTCGTACACGTGGCAGCCGACTAACATATCTAACTCAACAGCCAGCTAAATTGACCTATTTTGGCCAGTGAAAAGACCAAAAGTCAAGTTTTGTGTTTTGGAAAATCAATGCAACCACTAGACAATTTCTAAATTTAATATTAGTTACAAGACTAAATTTTTAATTTCTCCTTGGATTATAGCAAGAGCTCGTTTATGTCACAATTGCGTATGAATTTAAACTCTCTCCATACTCCCGTGTTTCCTCTTTACACCCATATGTATCACCATGAAACCTACATTCTATTCCTCCTGAGTACTTCAGGTAGTTAAATATAGTGTTAATAGTATATCAATATTATATGTTGGCAGACGCGTAACTGTTCACCTACCTACCATGACCATATTAACACATGTTCATCAACAATGCGTCACAATCTCGTAATATTTTTATTACATAAATACCTATTATATATAATATGTTAATATTCTATCACATCAATTACTTAATGAATAAATAGTGTATTTATTACATGAGTATATAGAGTTGATGGTTGTGAACTCTCATGTTGCACAGCTAATAAATAGTGTATTTATTACCAATAAAAAAGCATATACTAATGAAACAAAACCTAGAAGTCAACAAAGCACACGAGGTACACTCGTGAAACCTAAAAAGGCTATAAAATAAACATGCAAGAAATATAGCACAATAAGACATTGATTTTCCCTTTCGTTTTCATGCATTCTATTTATGCATGTGTCCCTCATTGGCCCCTAATAAGTTGCATTAATTACAACCAAAGATACAAAAAAACCCATATTTCACACTCAACCAAAATTCACCTACCCCCTCCCCTCAGGGCCTCACCACCCCACCCAATTAAAAATAAATAAATAAATATAATTAAAATAAAAGGCAAAAAAAAATAAAAATTAATAACTAAATTNTTTTTACATAATTCATATAAAATAATTTAATGAGAACCACATTTGAAAATATCACGATATCATATAAGTTCGCGAACAAGTTAAATTTAAAACGAAATACACAAAGCAAATCGAAAACATAAAATCAGATGTCGCCACGTCACGTCATCTCCACGTGTCGATCCCGATAAGTTGGATCCATCACGTTTCTCACCACAAGCAAACTTACGAAAACCCACACCTCACTATCCAAATAAAGTTTTTTCAAAATTTTCCTCCAATATTCTTTTTCACTAGCAACAAAATAAAAAAGGAAAAAAAATAAAAATAAAAAAAAAACTTAGGACTTTTAGTTCAAATACAATGTATGTGGCATAGACCTCCATACAATTACGCATATGACACTATTATAAAGTTATGTACAAAGCTAAAACAGCCAATATGTGGAGGAGCCCACCGGGTAACCGGTGGTCCGGGTCGTTTTCCGAATCGAATATATGTCACGAAACAACAGTATATCTATTATATAAATTTATTAATTATAATATATAGTGTTTTTTTACAATGACCATATATATATATGAATATAATTAATATGATTATTTATTGCCATATTTTTTAGATGAATCCAAGAGTACATTAGGGATTCTTTGACTTGTCTCGCTCGATGACGATGTTTCTGATACAGTTGTTCTTCTCTTTTCTTCTCTTCTCTTTGCGTATGCTTCGAAAAACTCAGTGTTCTCCTTCTCTAGCTCTTTCCACACTATGTAAATAAAAAAAATTATTAGAAAAATGAATAAATTACAAATAGTTACAAGATTATGAGCCGGTCAAACGATTCGACGTGATGAATTTTATTGCATGGACGATATATAATTAAGTACATAATTTGAAAGTAATAAAATAAATAAATAAATAGATTAAATTAGTATTGGTATATATACCTGTAGAAGTAATAACTGGCTTGATATTTGCATGTTGTGAAAGAGCTTCCACGCATTCCTCTTTGCTCATGTTGAATAATATGCACTCTTCTATTAGGTGTTGTACCTATATAATTAAATGGCGAGTTGACTGCAATTTAGTATAAACAAAAAAATAATAATTAAAACTAACTAAATAAAATAAAAATAAAAAGGGTAATTACTATTTTACCATGTGGATGTACTGAGCTGAAGATTCTGATCCCATGATTTTCCCAACCAATTTTCCTTTTTTTTTTCTTTATTATTTTCAAGCAAATTCAATCAAGATTAAAGGGGATCATAAGAAAGAAGTAAAATAAAAGAAAAAATTTAAAGCAAAATAGGAGGGGAAAAAATAAAAATTGAAGACTATATAACATAACAAGGAAAAAGGGAAAAATAATATGAGACGGCTTAAGTGTTCTAAAGCGAAAAGAAAAAAGGATTTGAAAGAGTATGATAACAGGTGATCATGAGGTTGGTATTTATAATATAAAATCAAATAAGAAATATATTAACGTTTGTGCAAAATTATGATGGCCTGATTTTTTATTTTTATTTGCTGCGATTATGTAATAAAAAAGCGGGATAGTGATCAGGTCATTCAGGTGAGGTCGTGAGTGGTGGGATCATTAGTCCCACGTGGGGGCTGAACGCTGATTGGCTGCGAGGGGATTAGAGTAGATTTTATTAAACCCGGCCGGCTGCTTTGTTGGCGATGCCCACTTCACGTGGAGCGCTTGGGCCCACAGGCCCACTGGCGGCAGGAGAGGGGAATTGGGCCCTTGTGAAGCCCAATGGAATTTCTCGAGATACTGTATTCTAATTTTGTGATCCACCGTGGATGCCAAGTTGGACCGGTGGGCCCGTAGCAAAATCTAGTGTAGGTAGCCAACGGCATCAATAATTGCCGTGTCGTCTTAACCTACTGCTCCTCATTTTTTTCTAAAAAAAATAAATAAATAATTAAATAAATCCCATTATTAAAATTATAATATTGTTAAAGTAAACACGATATAAATAATTAATTTCATTATTTTTTCTTTTGGATCAACACATTAAAAAAAAAAAAAAATCATTTTTAGCAACATGGTTGCCTAATCAATTACTCTACTTTTCCTTATTGTGAAACAAATAATAGATTATTTGGAGAAACAATGGAAAAAATGTTTGCCAAATATCATAGACAATCCATTTTTTATCCATCATATTTTCCCTTCAAATTGTATTTCACTTTTTTCTTTTTAAAAATGTTTCTCTTTTTATTTATCAATGCATAGATAGAGCTGTTAAACAAAATGAATCGTCGTGTGTTCGATTCAACTTGTTTTATCTAGCTCGAGTTCATTTAAAACTCGTTTAGCTAATGAGTCTAGTCAAACCGAACCGAATCCGTTAAGACTCAAACATATGAATTCTTATATAATTTTCTAGATTTAGGCTCGTTAATAATTATAAATGAGACGAGTTTGAGTTCACTAACCAGTCGAGTTCGAAAGGTATTACAAGTTGAAGTTCCGTTCGACTCGTTTACAGTTCGTCAGCTATGTTGACTTATGTAATATGCATTATGCAATTTTACTCAAACAAAATACTGCCAAACCAAATTCATGGGACCATGGCCCTCTAGAATGGTACAATTTGTTCGATCATACAATAAACAACGATTGATATTTCTAAGTCTTCAAAAAAAAAAAGCACTGTGACCGGGCATGGTTAGTAATTTTGTTAAGGATGCGACATTTGTCGACTGCATATGTTCAGAACAGAGGTCCCATTCAGTTCAGAATGAAGTTTTTTTGGGACTGTTCACATAATATTTGTCACTACTTTTAACTCTTCCAGCACTTGAATAATTGTCATTTCCAGTGTTTTAACTTTTAACTTTTAAGACATCAATCATTGTGTACAAAGTTGTACTCAATGCCAATTATTCTTAAATCGTGCTTTGGGGTCTAAACGAGTCGAGGCAAATTCCAACATTTAATAACGAGCCAGTAATCAAGTTCGAGCTCGAGTTGAGCTATAAAAAATTGTAAAAAGAAAAAAAAAAAAATTTCGAATCTTATCGAGCTCATGATTGTGTGTGATTTTAAAGTCTCTTTTAGATGTTTTTCTCTGGAGAAATACAACAAGTAATAACTCGATTGGGTGTGATTTCTTTTATGTACTTATATTATTTCGATTGTGTGTGAATTTTTTTTTTATGTACTTATATTATTTGATGTGGAAAACTTTTGCAGAAACAAATACAACAGTAATAAATAATAATTAATCATACAAGCTTTATTTCCTCACAAGTTGTTTTTACTTTGGATGCTTTTTTATGGAATTGGAACATCGTCTCCTTATTTTATTTGAAGTGCTATTACAGCTAGAGCTGATAATGACTAATTTTATGTTAAATATTGTATTGGGTATAGAACAGATTGCATAAACATAATAAAAGATTTATTACATTAATTAATCTTTAAGTATTTTATGATATCACGTCTTTTTGAGACAATGACTAATTATATTTACTCCTAGAATGAAAAAAGACCACGGTGCTGTCTTCATTCAGCTTATTAATCAAACAACTTCAAAATAAAGGAAATTTTGAAATATTATTATTCAACACAATTATTTGGTCATTCAAGTAGGAACTATGCTATTTGTTACTATAAATTATCGTGTAAGACAGACACTTGTTATCACAAATTCTTATATAAAACGATAATAAATATAACAAATTCTTATGTACGAGCATCTAATACATCATTTAACTATTAGGTTGGTAGACCCATCATATTTTTTCATTAAAATTGCATATTTGTTACAATAGAATATCATACTTTTATTCATTTTTTTTTTTAAGTACTATATTTCAATTTAAAAGTATAATATACTTAAAAAAGTATGATTCTCTCTAACCATTAGATCACATGTCTAACAACAACCTTACTAACTAACTCACCATGAGTACAAAACTTTATTGTTAAGAAAAATTGTAATGGAACTTCATATACAAATAACACACAAATGTGTGTCTAATGCAGATGAATCTTTTCCCAAGTGATGACCCAAGTAAAAGGATATTACTAAACAACACAAACTNATAAAAAAAAAAATATAAAAAAAAAAAAATTGGCTTGCTTTATAAACACTAAGTACTGACCAAATAACATAATAACAAAAGGTAGACAACTTTGAACTTTAATCAATAAGTACTAACCAAATAGCATAATAACAAAAGGTTTGAAGCCTTAGACAACTTTGAACTTAATACTTTAAACTCTCAACTTCAGTAATATTCTACTAAGTACTAACCAAATAGCATAATAACAAAAGCTATTCCATCTGAAAAACATAACTAAATACTCGTAAGCTCATAGATACTGTCCCTTATCCGATTTGGGTCGCAACTGCAAGAAAAAAAAAATAAAAAAAAAAATTACTTAAACGAGCATTAGACGATCAAATGAAACTACTGTGTAGTTATTTGATGAAAAATCAACCGAGATGAAAAAAATTACCTCATTGCTATGTCCACATTTTTTCTTCCTACAGTTGACGGCTCGAAGAGGCAGACGAGCATAACACCTGCCGATTTAATTAAAAGTCGAGATCATCAAACGGTTCAAAAGTAGACTAAAGAGAAAAAAATCGGTTAGGAAAAAAAATAAGAAAATACGAACTTTCGGCAAATCATTTTTTTTTGTCTGAACTTCTGAGCCAATGCCTTAAGATGTGGGGGATACTTCGGTTTAGTAGACGAATTCACATTAATGAGACCACCATGAAGCCTCAGTACCAAATGCAAAGTGCACCCTTTCAAAAATTTAACATTCATCAATTAAAAGAAATCAATAAAATGCATAATTGATGAAACATGCATTAAAAAAAAATAAAAAATTGAACCTTTCTGAATATTNCAAACGTTGTTCATCTGGTGGGATTCCTAAACAAGAGAAGTTGGAATAGCAATACATCAAAAATTGTTACATTCAGTTGGATCATATAAAAAAAGATAAAAAAATCATAAAAATAAAATATAGTGTTGAATTATTAAACTGAAGAATAATGTTAAGAGATTTTTGCCTTCCTTGTCGTGAATCTTAGCCTTGACATTTTCGGGGGTTTCACTAGATTCGACCTCAAGCGTTATGGTTTTCCCGGAAAGAGTTTCCACAAAGATCTGCATTTTTTTTTTTTTTTCTCTGTTCTGTTCTGTTTGCATGCAAGCTAATGAATTCGTTTGATAATTCAACTATCCAGAGGTTATATATATAAGTTTAATATACTTGCCCACCAAGAACTCTACTTGATAATCAAGGACAGTTGTTAATTTTTGCCTCACTACGGAATATACTTGCCCACCAAGAACTCTACTTGATCATCAAGGACAATATTTTTGCCTCATTAAGGAGTATAATCGCTCACCAAGGAATATTATTGCTCGGGTTTCATGGTGTATTTAAGTAATGAATAAGTAATAAAAAATTAAAAAAAATTATACTTTCATTGTGAAATTATGTATGATGAATATACAACAGTAATAAATAACTAACAAAGTGATAATTAATTAAATTTGTTAAGAAAAAATACATTTTTTTAATTATATTTTTAAAATTTTATATGTTTAAAAAAATGTTTTTTTTACAATTCTTATATTTTATTTGAATACTTTTCAAAACAAAATAAATTTTATTGTGATGTGGTTATATTTTATATTTATAGAGTCAATGTCTCTCGTTTATTAAATTTTCAAGTATTTTAAATTTATATAATTCAATATTTTAGAATATTAGTCTATGCATAAATGTATTATTATGAAATACTATTTTATTATATTTAATTATGTCACTCCTTTATATTTATTATTTTAAACGACCATAAGAACGAAGTGCAGTTCAGTCAGAAGTATTGGCGAAACGATTGTTATTGCGCAATCGAGAAATCTCTCCTTATTCATTCTATAGGGCGGGTGCTATTCGAGAACAATTAGCAGGGACAGGCCGCCCAAAAGGACATTTATGTTGATTTATGGAACTATGGATATATCTGGAGCTTGAACTTGATAGGGCTTCTTTCGGCACTTCTTCTTCTTTATTACCTAAGAAGTTCTCTTCTATTCTCCGGAAATGAAGGCCGAAGGTCGCGGCATAGAATAAGTAAGGTGCTATGGAACTAAAGAATACCGACACAACAACATTTTTTACTCTTCTGTCTGCTTTGATTTTCAAAATTGGATATAGATATCTGGTCTAGTTCAACTGATCTACGATGGTAGCAGGTCGATCGAAGGAAGGACTGTTAATTCACTCCCTTTCCCAAAGCGGTTAGTTTCGTACCTTGGGTAAACTTCCAATTGCTATATTGCGAAGCTTAGAGAGTGGAGTTTAAACTGACATGGGGACCTACTTTAGGCATTTCTTTTTCCCACGTTTTGAACGGGTTCGGAACCTTCATTCGTTGCTATGTGCCCAGGGCTTGGGGAAAGAGGAGTCCAGAGAAAAAGAAAAAGAAGCTTCGCTTCCCTTCGTTTGTACGGTTAGAGTCTCGCTTTCATACGGAAAAAAGACGCTTTCGAAAAGCACTTTACCTGAGGGACGACATTTTAGGTCAGTTTTCATCGAATGTTCAGGGGCATAAATGATCAATAACTTTCCTTATATAATCTATTTAAATAGAGAAATAATATGTTATAATACTTCTTAAAATTTAGTTTATGTAATACTTAACTTCTATATTTTATCCATAATTTATGAAAAAAACACATTAAATTGATTATTTTATAGTGCAATGATGGTAAAATTCTCTTAACATTATTCTTCACTTGAATAATTCAACACTACATTTTATTTATAATATCAAATGTTATACTTTTATTTATATTGATATTTTTAAATTATGATATTTTTTCAAATAAACTTAAACATATTTATAAAAAAAGAGCTNATTTTACCAGTTGTTTTGTCTAATTAATGTTCTATAATACCCATTTGGCAATCGGCAACTCTAGTTTACCCCCTTTCTAGACATCTTACGCCAATGGCGATTGCCGCCGCCATAACTCTGCCGTCCACGGCCGTCAGCCGACGATCGCTTTCCTCCACTTTCACAGCTCCTTCCGTCTCTCGTCTCTCCTCGGCGTCGTTTCACAATTCTAATTCCCTGAAACCGGTCTCCCTTCGAGCGGGCAAAACCCGACCCGGTTTCCAAATCTCCTCCTCGATGGCCGTTCAGGCGCCGGAGGCGGACTCCACGACGTCGTTTCTCGATCGTAGGGAGAGCGGAGTTCTTCATTTCGTCAAGTATCATGGGCTGGGGAATGATTTCATTTTGGTAATGACTCGTGAAAAAATGCAGTATCTGTTGCAGTTTTCTGTTGGCTATGTTTGTGCCCTAAGCACCAGCTTCTATCTCAATCTGAAATGCCGTTATTGTATTTCCAATTTGAGTGTATTCAGCTTTATTTTGGTCTCCAAGTTAATGAATATCAATTAGACAGTTAAAGCTTGACTTGAAATAGGTATAGAATGTGGTTCCTTGTGAGTTCATGTTTTCCATTTACTCTTTTGATCTTTCGGGTTATTTATTTGGATGAGTACTTTTTGTGCCTGTATGATTTGATGATTAGATTGATAATCGAGATTCAACCGAGCCCAAAGTTACTCCGGAACAAGCAGTCAAAATGTGTGATAGGAACTTTGGGATTGGAGCTGACGGGGTGATATTTGCAATGCCAGGCACCAATGGCACTGATTATACCATGAGGATATTTAATTCTGATGGTAGTGAACCTGAGGTAATTTGTCATTTCTTGAATCAAGGGTTCTCATTGTTGCTTTAATTTGGACATTATTGCAATCGAGGTTCATGTAATCTGTCATGAAATTCTCATCTTTAAAAATGTAATATTCTGCCAGAGTTTTTGATGAATGGTGTTATGTCTTGAGAGCATAATAGAAACCCAAAAAAGAGTGAGCTTGTTTTGTTGCTTATCATTGAAAAGACGGTAATTATAATAGAGATGCCGACAATTTCGCATGACAAACTTCTGCCTTTTAGTTTACAGTAAGAGAAGAAGAAGAAAGAAAAAAAAAAAAAAGAAGAAGAAAAAAAAAAAAAAAAAGCAAAAGGATGAGATCATATGACCTGTCGTTTCGTTTCTATTCTCCCATTCATCTGTATTTCGTTAGACGACCATCCCAAGATTGTAAGATAGTCGTCTGAATTCTACCACATATATGCTTCTGTTCATGTCTTGATGAGGTCACTTATTATCCGGTCACAGATGTGTGGCAATGGAGTTCGGTGCTTTGCCAGATTTATAGCGGAGCTCGAGAATCTTAATGGCAAGCAGAGGTTAATTGCGTTCCTTCCTATCTCTCTTCTCTTCAAATTTTGCTACCAATCTCTTGCCACTTTCATGCTTCACAGAGCACACAATTTTCTCTCTTGTATATATAACTCATATATGCCTTTTAGAATGAATTATGATCTTGGTCATGCTTCATATTATCTGCCTCACATCTTATTTATTACTGCAGCTTTACTGTACACACTGGTGCAGGTTTAATTGTTCCTGAAATTCAAGAAGATGGAAAGGTACCTTTAGAATTGCTCGACTCGCGTGCATTTTACTATTTCTTGTGGTTCCTAATTCTGATTGAAACTTTTTACGCTCAGAATCTTCTTTGCTCTCCCTATCTAAGACCACTTCAGCACTTGAATCGTATTTTCAGGTCAGAGTTGATATGGGTGAGCCGATTTTGAAGGCATCAGATGTTCCTACAAAATTAGCTCCAAATAAGGATCATGCTGCAGTTAAGGCAAGATTGGATGTAGATGGCTTGATCTGGAATGTGACTTGCGTAAGCATGGGAAATCCTCACTGTGTAATTTTCAGTACAGAAGCCAGTAAGGTATACATACCATCCAATTACAACTGTTTTTTGGGTTCTGTTGGTTTTGGATCGATCTCTTTTGTTCATCACTTATTGGCCCGAAATTGTACAGGACTTGGAAGTCGATAAGCTAAATTTAGCTGAAATTGGCCCGAAATTCGAGCATCATGCTGTGTTTCCGGCACGAACTAACACTGGTATCGGTTTTAACTGTCATTACCCAAAGAGTTGGATTGGATTTCCATCTCAATAACTGAAATTTAAAAAATATAACTTTTTATTTTCAAAATTAACACGGTGCTTGAATTATTCTTGCGTGTACATATTTTCCACTTGATAAACACATTGTCTGTTGCGTTGCAGAGTTCGTTCAAGTTTTCTCTCCAAGTCACGTTAAAATGCGTGTTTGGGAGCGTGGGGCAGGTTTATTATTTTTCTGAAGGACAAGTTTTTTTTCCCTTCACACGAAATTGTTGTTTTAATTCAATTTCAGCTTTCAACTTCTCGTGCCATTCATTTATCTTCTTTCTACAGGTGCAACATTAGCTTGCGGAACTGGAGCTTGTGCTGTTGTGGTTGCTGCAGTGCTTGAGGGCCGTACGGGAAGGGTAAGTCTCTAAATTTAATAGGCTAAGGGACCTAAAAATAAGAAAGAAAGAGAGAGGGAGAGAAAGATCAATAGGCTTAGTTTCTCCATTTCTCGTTTTTCTCATGTCCGTTTTGCATGCAAAAAACAGAGCTGTAGAGTGGATTTGCCTGGAGGCCCATTGGACATCGAGTGGAGAGAGGAAGACAATCATGTCTACATGACAGGCCCAGCCGAAGTAGTATTTTACGGATCTGTCCCTATCTGATATTTTGGTACTTTGCAGTTTGCCCCTTTTTTTCTTTTGCTTTAGCCGGACGAGAAAATGATCATGCAGGCGGGTTTCTTGTGCCGCACTCAAACTATGCTTTACCGTAAACTTATTCTGGGCGATAACGGTCCATGATTATTGTTTGTATCGTCGAGGAAAAAGATTGATGTAGTTTTGTTGTGTGTTGCATTTTTTTTCTCCCCTTTGGTGTTGTGTTTAGGAATTGCTTTTTTGCTACTTGCCAATCTGATTCAAAATAGTTCAAATTGCTTTCAAAACTTGGTGGATACGGGGTATAATGTCTCCTCTTTTTGGGTTATTCTTATTTATAAGGAAAAATAAATGAATAAATGAATAAATAAAACTATCAGGATTTCGAAAAGAAACCAGCAAGCAAAATAGGTATAGTGTACTCCAATGATCTCATATGTTGTTGTTTTTTTTTTAAAAAAAATTAATTGTTACATACGTATTTTCTAAACAAATATTCATATTTATACTTTAAATTGTTTTTACATAAAGACCCTTATGTAGAGCTCATGAGTAGGAGTCAATAACAATGCGGATTTGTATTGAACAACACCGAACCGAGCCACAAATACTGAAAAATTGAAACTATCCAAAAATAATTGAATTTCACTGCAACATAGATTGAAACTGAATAATTGAATTTCACTGTAACATAGAAAAACTGAAAAATTGAAACTATCCAAAAATAATTGAATTTCACTGCAATATAAAAAAAATCGAATCAAAATAACGAACATGATTAGCATTGAAATCCATGATTTGGCTAGCTTTTCAATTTTGCCTCTATTGTTTTTATGCATTGATATTTAATTTGGTTTTATGCATTGATATTTAATTTGGTATGACTCGGTGTAAAAAATAAATTCAAAAACCAAATTTGTGAGAAAATAATAACAAGAACCGTACAATCACATATAAAAAAATCGAACCAAAAACTGAATCAAAAAATTTCCGCTAAGAAATCGAACAGCTCTGAGTTGCATGACTTGGTCGACTTTCGGTTTTAGTTTTGTTTGGTTTTGCTCACTTCTACTCACAAGACTTAGGATGTATTCAATTAAAATTTTTAAAGACTTTTTAACACTTTAAAAATCTTGGTGTATTCAATTTATATATTTATATATGTTAAGACTTTTAAAAAATATTGGATAATGAATAAGAAAAAAAAAAAAAAAGTGTTGAATCGGGTGAGTAGAAATTTGTATTCTTTGCAACGGTAGAAATTTGTCCGACGCGGACCAGTTTGAATAAAATCCCTTTTTTCCTAAAACACCCAAAAATGAATTCAAACTTCAAACTACAAACCTATCTTTAAATGCTACTCCATCTCAGCAAATTCTTGTATATTCACTCCCTAGCCGTTAGAAAATTCAAAGTCAATCTACACTCTCTCCTCAGCACAAAAAAATTGAGGAAAAAAGAAGCAGACAGTCTGTAATCAATTAGAAATCAGAAAATTCATTTCGAACAATTCTCCCGTCGATTCAAGTGATTTTTTACGGTTTTTATCCCATTTTTCGCTGTTTTCTTGAGGTGTGAATTGAAAAAAATCGACAGCTATGGTTTCTCTGACGCCGGACTGCAGGAAGGTGGGGACGGGATTGGCGCCGTCGCCGGCGCCGTTCTTCACGCCGCGGCCGGAAAGGAGGAGACCGGACTCGAGAGGACCCGATTGGAACTCGAATCGTCAGGACAGGGAGAAGGAGGTCAACATTCAGGTTCTGCTCCGATGCAGGTGAATTATTTCGTATTTCGTTTAATTCGCGCGTATGCATCTATGGTTCAATTCGTTCACTGTGTTTTTAATCCGGTTACCAAATGTAGGCCATTGACTGACGACGAGCAAAAGTCGAACGTGCCCAAGGTAATAACTTGTAACGATAGCAGAAGAGAGGTTACGGTTCTGCAAAATGTGGCCGGCAAGCAAGTCGATAGGGTTTTCACCTTCGATAAGGTATGGTTTTACCAGCTAGTGTATCGTTTTTACAGCTTTGGAATTTGAATTCAAGATTTTCTAATGTGATTCCAATGTTTCGAAGGTATTTGGGCCGAAAGCACAACAACGATCAATATACGATCAAGCAATTTCGCCTGTCGTCAGTGAGGTATTGGAGGGCTTCAACTGTACCGTCTTTGCCTATGGCCAGACTGGAACTGGTAAAACCTACACAATGGAGGGGGGGATGAGAAAAAAGGTACAGAGTTAAATTCTCGAGATTTTTAGTAATAGAGTTTCTCAATTTCATGTTATGTATTCTTGGTTATGATTGTTTGTTTTTTGTGGGGGTATAGAGTGGTGAATTGCCTATCGAGGCTGGTATAATTCCAAGGGCCGTCCGCCAAATTTTCGACACTCTCGAGGAACAGAATGCGGACTACAGCATGAAAGTAACCTTCTCGGAACTCTATAACGAGGAAATAACCGACCTGCTTGCTCAGGAAGATCTGCCTAAATCTACAGAGGATAGACCTAAGAAGCCCATCTCTCTAATGGAGGATGGAAAGGGTTGTGTGAACGTGAGGGGCCTTGAAGAGGAAGCTGTTTACAGTGCAAATGAAATTTACAGCCTTCTCGAGAGAGGTGCCGCCAGGAGACGCACGGCAGACACATTGTTGAATAAGAGAAGCAGGTGTGTGGGGATTTTGTTATTAGATTTCTTTTTGTGAAAAATGATTTTGGTGATGATTGAATTGTGTTTATGGTTTGCAGTCGTTCGCATTCTATATTCACGATAACTGTATACATAAAAGAAGGGAGCATTGGGGATGAGGAGCTCATCAAGTGCGGCAAGCTTAATCTTGTCGATTTAGCAGGGTCAGAGAATATCTACCGTTCGGGTGCTCGAGAGGTGAGAGTTCTCGGTGCTATATTTTGATGAGAACATTGAACATAATTGTAATACTTGAAGCTTTGAAGATGTCTGCAAAACGTGTACATTTCTTGAGTTCTGCATTCATTTTCTGTTTTTGTTTTATGCAAATATACTGTGTGTTTAGAGCAAAAAATTCCAGAAATGGTTATGGATTCTATTCATCTGTTTCTGGTGCCTTGGTTGTCTTTCAGATGGTGATCAGAATTTACTGATTGATGATCCAAGTATTGAACAATTCGATATTTATTTTAATCCATTTCTTCAAGGCAGGAGAAATAGTTTTGCAGGTCTATGGTGAATTAACTGCATTGTCTAAACCTTTTTGCTCTATGTTCCTGCTGGCTTTTCTTTTTTTTTTTTATATATATTTTTTTATTTTTTCTGTAATGTGTTATGAATTAAAAGTGGCCGTGAGTAGTTTTTCTTCTTAACTTTGTTTATATGAGTCCAAATTCCTCACCTTGCATTCCTGAGATGGTTGCCCAGGCTCGAGCAAGAGAAGCGGGAGAAATCAATAAGAGTTTACTGACCTTAGGCCGTGTTATTAATGCATTGGTGGAGCATTCAGTTCATATACCTTACAGGTATAGGGGACCTCAGGTTTTAATCGAGTAAGAAACATACATTGCCTTCGAATTTAATGGTCTCTATCATTTGCAGAGATAGCAAGCTTACAAGGCTCCTGAGAGATTCATTAGGAGGGAAAACAAAGACTTGCATTATAGCTACAATATCGCCATCTGCTCATTGTTTGGAAGAAACATTGAGCACGCTGGACTACGCATATCGTGCTAAAAGCATAAAAAACAAACCTGAGGTTTTTATGAGTTTCGATTTTTTGTTCTTTTTTTAGCCTGATTATGGATTTACATAGAAACTTTTCACTTTTTTTTTCTGTATTATTATTTTGAAGGCAAACCAAAAGGTTTCCAAAGCTGTGTTGCTGAAGGATTTATACGTGGAAATCGAGAGGATGAAACAAGGTTTCTTCATGATTTCCTTTTTTTTCGGATATCATATAGCGGATTGCTTCTAATGCCCTTTTCGGTTTTAAAACAATTTAGATATTCGAGCAGCAAGGGAAAAGAATGGTATCTATATTCCACATGAAAGATTTCTGCAGGATGAAGCGGAAAAGAAGGTCAGTCAATATGCTTATTATCTCTTCTATTTATCTTCTCTGAAGTGTACTCTTATAATAGTAATGGACTTTCTGGTAAAGTTTTTCTTGTTTGTCATCTCTAGTGCATTATCAGAGTGCTCTAGTTGATTTCACTGCTATGATGGAGGAGTCTGTGTATGCATTTAGCTTTATGGAATGATATTTGGATATGAAATCTAGACAACAAAACAAGTCATTTTGCTTCAGTAAGTTCTAATCCATTTGAACCTTGTGGTGATTTGAAAATCTTGCAGGCAAAGAATGAGAGGATAGAACAACTAGAGAGTGATCTTACTGCCACTGAGAAGGTGGTAACTCATGCTTGTTGTTTCTCATTGAAGTTTTACCACTAAGTGTATACTGACATTCGCTTAGTTTTCAACAGCAACTCGATAACTTTCGGGAGCTTTATCTTAATGAACAAGAAGAGAAACTTAACGTTGAGAGTGATCTTAAAGAGTGCAAGGTATTGGAGAAGTTTCAGAGAATGATACTTGACATTATTGATATTTTTAACTAAAATTTACTTATATGGCTGCACATTTTCTTCAGAAAACTTTAGAAACAACACACAAAAACTTGGAAGATCTACAAGTGAATCATAAAAGAACTCTTTCAGTACTGAAGGAAAAGGAGTTGCTCATTTCTAAACTTCAGCATTCAGGTTTTGAGAAATTTTGAATTTACGCCATGGCTTTTTGTGATCTATCTCATTTATTGGAGAGAATCTGAATTTTCATTACGCAGAGAGTAATCTAATAAATTGTGCAAAGACGTTGAGGCTCAACTTGCACGATGCAAGCGAGGACATATCCGCACTTTTTGGGAAAATAGGTAAGTATGTCATTTAAATTTTCTTTTGAATGTTAATTATATCTTTTATCCATTCATATACTCTTAACAAGTCTGAAGATCATCATGCTAAAAGTGCTATAGTGTACAGTACTAATTTTTGCCCAAAAGTGTTTTGCAGATCATAAAGACAAAGTAGAAAGAGAAAACCATGGTATTCTTCTTACATTTGGAGAACAACTTGATCAAAGCTTGAACAACCTTCATAAGATTGTTTTAAGCTCTGTATCTCAACAAGAACAACAGCTTAGAAATGCTGAAAACTGCATCAGCACATTCCTTGCTAGTAAATATGAAGTAAGATACACGCTACTACTCGAAAAGGTTACATATACAAATTTTGTCTTGGCTAATATATGTATGTCT